TTTCGTTCAAAAAAAATGTGATGGAAAAAAAATATATATAAATAAAAACAATTCAACACGTTACATATCACGAAGCAAAATTACCTCGCCAAGGTATTACAGATTTCCAAAGCACAACAAAGTTTTTTTTTTTTGGTGTTTGGATCAAGATATTACAGAAATTCCAAAGCACAACACCAAAGTTGGTTTTTTTTTTTTTTGGAGTTTGGATCAGAGAGGGAGAACCATCGATAACGTCGATATTGACCTCGACTCGAGCACACACAAAAAAAATAGATTCTAGACAATATATCTCACCTTGAGAGCTAAGCCGTTTTCGATAGCCAGGGTCAGCATCAACAGCATGACGCTCAGGGGAACGCATCCTGCCGTCATGCTACTGCTGGAGAACCTCATCCCGTTTTCTTTCGTTGCTCGTTTTCTTCTCCTTCTTCTTCTCTCTGTCTGTCTGTTGGTTTCTCTGTCTCTGTCTCTGTCTCTGTCTCTGTCTCTGTCTCTGTCTCTCTCTCTCTCTCTCTCTCTCTTAAGCAGGTCTCGTCGCTGGGCGTTTAAGAAGGTGGTTTATAGAAGAGGTTTGTTGTTTTTCGCACTCGAAGAAAATGGGAATAAGGTTAGGTGGAGGGATGGCTTCGCTGATCCTACAGCCACGGCGTTCCTGCCTGCCTCGTCCCGGCCATCCGCTCCTGGGAAGAAGGAGAGGGAAATGGTGCTGCTGGAGAGAGAGGAATTAGGGGGGGGGAGAGGGACGAGAGATTGAGAAGGAGGAAGGGAGAAGGAGGAAAGGATCGAGAGGGATAAAGGGAAAGTGGCAGATGAAGAAAAAAGTGAGGGAGGATTAACAGCAAAGAGAGAAAGAAGGGAATGAGTTTAGAAACTACAAAAAAACGTACGAAAAATAAAAGAACATATGCAATGAAGAAGGAGAAATCTAGAACTACCATCCTGAATGAAAAAATATGAAGTAAATCACTGCAATCTTCCCTTAGCATTGCACACAAACACGCGACACAACCTTATTCTTGATAATATCGCCCCCTACCTTGTACTCAGTAACTACATGTTATAACCACAACGCGTGACGCGGGTGGAATCAACACGTGATACATGTCTATGGCTGTAAACACAGGCAGGGCAATGGGACTATGCCTTTCCTGTTATGTCGTGTAGTCTGTCTCTTTCTGCAACGTATTTTCCTTTTACAATTATGGGTCCCTGTCTGCCTTCTCTGTAGTGAGTTATTTGTGGTTGTCGTGTATTCTGGGTGTCCTTGTCTGCCTGTTTCTGCAGTTGGGTTGTTTAGTTGTAAGTGGGTTCTTGTCTACTCTGCAGTGCTTTTCCCTTGTTATCTGAGGGTAGTTGTGGTTCTCATGCAGTTAGTATGGCTGCGTGTATTTTGGGGGCACTCATTGATGATATAGATAAGAAAAATCTGATGTTTGGAGACACGCCATTCTGTTTTATTTTTTTATTTTTTTATATAGTTCTTGGCCGAATTGATTTACGTTGGTCACTCAGCGAAAGCAAGAAGATTCGTGCACTTTGATCAAGAATATGAGACTATTTATTGGGAAGGAATGTGGAGGAGCAGAGAATGGAGACAGAAAAAACACAACAATGCAGCTATATATATCAAAGTTTTTTTCTATGTTTTGTCATTGCTCTCGATTGGGTTTATTTATTCAACTTATCTTTTTCAACAACTCTGCATGATTCACACAACCCAAAGCAGGAAGCCTATTGATAAGCATAAAGGATTTTAAAACGTGATGAATTCATTAAGAAAAAAAACAAGCATAATACCCACAGACATTCGAACACAATACCACGCTCTTAACACTTGCAAATGAAAAAAAACAACACTTTCGGTCCACAACACACAGACGAAACACAGACCAACGAGAGACAAGGAGACCGCAGCCCACCTTCGACGACCGCTCGGCCCTGACTGAACCTTCCTCCAGGTGGATCCCCCTCCCCTCCTCCCCCTACGTCCCTCCCCCCCCCACACCCTCTGTCCTTCTCCCCCTCACCCTCCTCCCCCCCTCTCTACCCCCACCCCCTCCATGCTTACACAAGGTACGCACGGGGTAGAGAAATACAACGAATCAATTATTTTCATTTATCTTTTTTTCTTTCCATTTATACCGGATAGCATGCAACCAAATACCGTAATCTCCTTAATCATCCATAAAACAAAAACGTTCATTATTTCAAAAAACCTAATGAGACATACGTATAGTTATTTTTCAGAATAGAAAATTAATACGGACTGAGCAACGGTACAAAACAATGTTATTTATGGTCGCCATGCAGTGTTTCTTCGCCCAGTAAACATGAAGCGAAGACTGGCTTGGGATGACGCAGACTATAATGGATTTATTGATTGATACAAATATTTGATAGCGTCGTCCTTCTGCAAGATTTTTTTTTATTAAAGAAGGATGTGCGTTTATTATATTAGGTGCTGTATATCATGAATAGAGGTAAATGAGTGAGTATG